CAATTCTTTTTTTTTTTTTTTTTTTTTTGCTTTTTCAAGACAGGGTTTCTCTGTGGTTTTGGAGCCTGTCCTGGAACTAGCTCTTGTAGACCAGGCTGGTCTCGAACTCACAGAGATCCGCCTGCCTCTGCCTCCCAAGTGCTGGGATTAAAGGCGAAGATTTAAAATTCTTATCCTACAAGTTTTTTGTTTGTATGGCCTGCTCTTGGGTGGGAGTCGTAAAGTTTCAGCTTGAGGTTCTTTCCTGCTGCTAGGTGTTGCTTCAGGCTAGATTGCTGAGACTCAGGCCTCTCACTAAATTTATCAAGGGCCAGAGTTATACTCTAAACAAGTGATAATGGTTAAAAATAAAAAACATTTCCTCATCCTAGATGTAAAAGAGGTACCTTTGGGTTATTTTTAGATTCTGGCTATGATAAAGTAGTTCTGCTGTGGGCATGGCAGAGCATGTGTCCTTATGGTATGGTTAAACAACTTTGTATTTAGGCCCAAAAGGGGTACTGCTAAGTTTTGAGGTAGATATTTGCCTAATTTTACATAATGGAGGTCCCTCAATGCTGGGGAGACTCTCACTCAGGTCTTGGGAGGGCGCGGGCCCCCCTCACGGCTCGCCAAAGACTTTGCTTGCTGAGGTCGCACGTGGCCTTGGTTGGTGGGGGAGGAGTTCGACCCCGAGTGACCTGGAAAAAGAATTTTAGGACAAGAGACCACAGCCCAGAGGTCCAGGAGGGTCATAAAAATTTCAAAAACCCAGTGATGGTCACAGGGGCGCGTCTCCCTGCCTCTCAGGACCACTCCCAGGGTCATAATCAGCTAGTTCCTAAAACAGTACTGTGATAATTGCAGCTGGAAAACTAGTTTTTCAAGATTGCAGTCTGGCGCAGGGTCGCTAAACAGGCTAACCCTAGATTTTTGATTTTTCTCTTCCTGCTGGGAGAGTCTGGATTTATCAAGGTTTTTCAATACTGTAAGTGATCCAGGGTGACTGTGCCGGTATGCACTTCCAACACCAGTCACCGCTCCCAGCGCCGCCGCTGCCGCCACGGGCTGCAGCTCACTTCCAGCGAGTTTTTTCCCTACCCACGTTTTCTTAAGCATAGGTTTTTAATAATTTTTAATCTTGGTCATTTTTACAAGGATAAGGTAAAATCTCAGAGTTTTGATTTACATTTCTCTGACAGTTAAAGGATGTTATATTCAAACATTTTAGGTGTCTCTCGGTCATTTTTGAGTTCGTTTGTTGAGACTTTTTCAGTTTAGGTCTATAACAAATATTTTTATTGGATTAAATTTTTAATAACTAATTTCTTGAGTTATTCATATATTTTTGAAAGCGATTTATGATAAGTAAAGATCTTTTCCCACTCTATAGTCTTGTTATACAAAAGGTTCTCAATTCAGGAGATCTAGTTTATGGTTTCTCACAATGTTTGTGCCACTGAGGCTGTGTTTATGATGTGGCAAGGTGTGCTTCAAAAATTTTTTCTCTGTGAGGTTCAACATAAATTTTTATATGCTAAGACCTTTGGCTCATTTGAGCTTAAATTTTGTACATGGAGATGGATATAGATCTATTTTCATTTTTCTACATGTTGGTGTCTAATGAGGCCAGCATTATTAGTTAAAAAAAGCTTCATTTTTCCATTTTTCTATCTGCAAGGCAGACTTACAGCTTAATAGGAGGATAACTTACAAACTTTTGGTTGGATGTCCAATGGTTAAAGCCCTAGTTATGGGAGACCTTGAGCTGCTAGGTAAAATTCTTACAAAAAACAGTTTCCAATAGAGAGCCTTAAACAGGCTGCCTAACAGGTACGCAAACAGGTAAAGTATACAATAATAAACAAATACAATATATTAATTATAATTCAGCTATGGCAAATGTATATTAAATATAAAACTTATTCTATAACAGTTTTATAAAAAAAATGCTGTTTATGGCTAAACCTTCCCAGTTTTGCCAGTTAAGATATTAGACTCTTAATTTAGAACAGTAGCCTGTCTGATGTAAAAGGACAGGATAACATCTGAAAAAATGGTTTAATAGAATATTGACTATGATCAATGTTTCTTATACTAAACAATAGATTCATTGATAATTTTAAGATTGATTCCTGGACAATTGTATTTGCTCAATTCAAAGGCAAGAACAATAATCTTTTCCCAGATCATTGCTACAATTCACACAACTGTATTTTGCTAATGTTATAGCAAAAAATCCCTTAAACGATTTTATGCAAAAATTTTACAGATGGCTCTTCCAATGGAGGAACTGCATATATGGCTAATAATAAAAAAAATTATGGAGCATAACAAGGCTCCTTCAAAGCAGCTTATGAAAGTTGCAAACAGATCCTGATGCAAACAGATCTGGCGTGATAACACCAAGCTGACCTTTGCTAAGGCAAGGTGGAAAAGCCCTTACAATACATTACGAAAAAACCCAACCTACCTATATATATTTGGGGTCGAGGATATGTTTATGTTTTTTTTCACAGAAAGAAAATAAAAGCTGGACCTGAGTCATGGCTGCAGACATCCCACAGAGGACTTCCAGAGGCGATTGCAAAGAGGTCCTTGGTGGTCCAGCCTTCCCTGCCCGCAAGGAAAAGAGTGCCTGATAATAGAACCTGCTACTCCACTCTGCAGGGTGTCATCCTGCCTCCAGAGTCCAGGGAGACCAGGCTGAGATAAGTGCCAGGATGTGCTTCAGATAGCTGAATCCAGCTCACCTCACTCAGGAATCCCACCTGCCCTGAAGCACAAATGCTGAACTGCCTCTACAGTTTGAACTCTGGTTTGCTTTGAAGCTAAGATACAGACTAAACATCAGACTGTTTTAATCCTTGGGACACAAAACTCATTTTAATTAAAATATTAACACCTCTTCACTTAAGAAGGGGGAAGATTGGGGTTCCTGTCACTGTTGCTCAGAGACTGGAACTGGTGGTATTTGATGACAACAATGTATGTCATTGTACTCTTACTGCAATTGATCTAATGATATTTGTAACTGCTTTTATAGATGTCGGGAAAGGTTTGATACATGCTCTAAAGTGTTTGGGTTTAATGCATATGTTAAAAAATTTTAGATTTAGACCCCCTTTACACTGCACTAATTTTTGGCAGACAGCACTCATAATTTTTATGTGGAGTAGGCATTTAGGAAGGAGGATACCTTAGGCCAGACTAAAAGGTGAATACTGGGTTTGGAAAAGGCCCTTTCTTCTTGTCTGGAAGATGGAGTTATTGGTGCCCAAAATTATATCATTATATCTTTTGTTTGAGGAGCTCCTCACAGTTTTTCATTAATGATAGACTCAGGGGCCCAATGACGGGAGTTAGTGTGGATCCTCACCTGAATAGCACACCATACAGAGGCTGTAAAGGCCGGCTCAACATGGCATGGTGCCAGGTACGAGGAACGCTCTCCACATGGCCTAAGACAGGGTGCCCTGTGGTCTGCTTACCTTAATCTTGCTAGATACCTTTTATTTGAGAAGCTCCAAGGAACTAATGCTAATCATAAGGCACCCCTCTGTTCCCAGGAGAGGTAAATTGCTTCACCATTCGAGAGGAGGGTCTCTACTTGTCCCAGTTCTTTCTCTTTTAAATCTGACACCGGGGTTGACTCTGACTTGGTGCCCTCCACTTAATAACTGCTTGCCTTTATATAAGAGAGGGGGAATATGTCAGGAGCCATTTCCCCCCAATCATTACAGGAACCATCATCTTGGGGAGTCTGCAGAGAACCTCACACCCATAATTATGTTCTATTGAGAAAACCTGCCCCTCACCCAATTAACTTATCTGTTAGCAGAACCTGCCTCACATTCCAGCTATCCAGGGAACCAGGTGTGGCAACTTGTGACTTCTGGCCTACCCATCCGAATGTAACCTGGCCTACATGACCTGGAACACCCAGCAAGAATCCAGTTGCCCTGCCCCCCATTCCTTACCATATATAAACTGTAACCCGTCCCTAATAAAACGGAGGCTTTGACAAATCTGCTTGGCCTCCTTCTTCTGTCTTAGCTCATTCCCTTCCAGGTAGCGCCCCTCCGTGACCCTGGAATAACTGATTGCAGGGTGGGTTACAAACCCTAGACTGAGTGACCCACCCAACGTAATCGACAGTCCTGGAACTAGCTCTTTTAGACCAGGCTGGCCTTGAACTCACAGAGATCCGCCTGCCTCTGCCTCATTTGGTGATTCTTGAGCTCCAGGTTGGACCTCTCTGATTCTGTCTGCCCAGGGAGAGTCCTATGGTCTATGGTTGTCAGGAGAGCCAGGCTTTTACCAGTGGATAGGATGGTCCAGGAGCGGTAGCTAAAGCTGTCTGGCTGTCCCACACAAATCAGCAAAAGCTAGAATGAGTTTTCCTACACTTCATGAGTGAAGATGTAACATTTTGTCCTGAAAACCCATAAGCTGAACCACCTCTATCTTCTGCTACACTGTTACCCTTTTTCTCTTCCCAGAACTCCTGGCCCATTCCCATCTCTCCCAGGTCCTTCAGAAACTATATTCTAAGCTCCATTCAATCCTTTCTTGGCATTAGTATCCTTTTCCAGGCCCATTATATTCCAAACAGCATTGGAATATATTTCTCTCTGAAGGCTGTTATATAGCTGCTGCTTCTGAATTGAAGCATTCCCTCCTGAAGGGAGGGACTCTCATAAGACTCAGGAAATTCCTGAAACTTACAAGCTCAACAAAATCTGGCTTTGTCTTTATAAAAGGGGAAAAATGTTTGACAGAGACAGAGGAAGCTTTCAGCGAAACTTCCTGTAAATTATAGCAGTGTTAGGGCTACGGTTTTCAGAGGCAGTGAGACCTACACTAGAGCAGGCTTTCTTGTGACACAGGTGCCTTTGATTTATTTAATTCTTTTTTTCTTAATTTTATGTGCACTGGTGTGAAGGTGTAAGATCCCTTGGAGCTGGTATAGCTGTGAGCTGCCGTGTGGGTGTTGAGAATTGAACCTGGGTCTTCGGGAAGAATAGTCAGTGCTCTTAACTACTGAGTCATCTCTCCAGTCCCCATAAATGCCTTTGAATCAACCGTGCTCCTGGAAGTAACCCCTCACTTATGCTGCTTTAAATAATCCCATGAATACATACATGGGTTCACTAAACTAGACTTGGGTGAGGTTGGTTCTTGATGCCCTGTGCAGGGTGAGAGAATGTTCGCTCCTGCCTCCACCGGCAAAGGATCACACACAAACAACCCCAGCTTCGTATAGAATAACTTCGTAGAGATCTATTTTTCTTTCTGCTACACGAGTCGCAATCACCAGATGGGTCTGAATATTAAGTGTGATAATTGAGATACTTACAACAATACAGAAAATCCTTACAGGTTACAGATGGAGATTTTGTGCTGTCAGTGCAGGGAGTTCTGGAGACACTTTGATCACGTGTCTGGATATGTACGTACATGGTGGTACAGTTGTAATGCCTGTGATAAACATGGGGTACACCCTAATTCCCAGCAGAAGAGGGAAAAGTGAAGTAATCTTCAGAATATGTAGGTAATACACTTGATACTGACCTAGAAAAATATTCACACATCGCTAACCGAAAAAAATTGCAAATAGATTATGTGTATATGTATATCCTCCATTCACACATAAACAGCATATGCAATCTGCCTTCCTTCCTTCCTTCCTTCCTTCCTTCCTTCCTTCCTTCCTTCCTTCCTTCCTTTTTCTCTCTCCCTCTCTCTCCCCTTCCTTCATTCTTCCTTCCTTTCTCCCTCCTTCCCTTTCTCCCTCCCTTCCTTCCTCTCTCTCCCTTTCTCCCTTCCTCTCCTCTTCCTTCCTTTCCTTCCCTTCCCTTCCCTTCCCTTCCCTTCCCTTCCCTTCCCTTCCCTTCCCTTCCCTTCCCTTCCCTTTCCTTTTGTGAGACAGGGTCTCTCTTTGTAGCCCTGGCTGTCTTGGAACTCCCTATGTAGGCCAAAGTGGCCTCAAACTCAGAGATCCACCTGCCTCTGCTTCCTGAGTGCTGAGATCAAAGGTGTGTGCTACCAGGCCCAGCTCATATATACTTTTTTTTTTCAGGTTAGGTTCTCACTGTAGCTCAGCCTGCATTTAAGTTCAAGTTCTTTCCTTTTCATTTTTCTTTTTATATTTGGAGACACTTTGTTTCTTTGTCATGGCTATCCTGGAACTTGCTCTGTAGACCAAGCTGGGCTTAAACTCACAGAGATCCTCCTGTCTCTGCCTCCCGAGTGCTGGGATTAAAAGTGTGCACCACTACGGTCCAACTAATTTCAAGATTTTCTACCTTAGCCTTCTGAGTACTGGGATTGCAGGTTTGTGCCACTATGTCCGGTGAGACATATAAAAAGAAAAAAAAGAAAAAAGCTTTAAAGTCTATATATGTGTGTGTGTCTGTATGTCTGTGTGTGCGTGTGCGTGTGTCTGTGTCTCTATGTATGTTTGTGTGTGCATGTCTGTGTATGTGTCTGTGTCTTTGTGTCTGTATGTGCTTGTCTATGTATGTGTGTGTCTGTATGTGCTTGTCTGTGTATGTGTGTGTGCCTGTGTCTGTGTGTGCATGTGTGTCTCTGTGTGTGTGTGTGCATGTGTCTGTGTATGATATAGAAAAATCTCCGGAAGGTCAAACTTTCAACTGTTAGTGGTAGCAGTCTTAGGGATACATGTCTAAGGAGAGAAGGGTCATATTCCCTATATTTCTAGGCTTGCATTTTTTTGCCATGAACATGTTTGGTTATCTAAATTTTTACATCTATGACTTCTACAAAGAACATTTAGCACACAGTGCCAAGGACAAATGGCAGGATGCGAAGTGCTTACACACGGAGGTCACGACTTGGTGGAAGCAGGAAGCCAGTGAGAGTCACACCCTCACTGATGAGAGCAGAAGCTGCAGAGGGTGCCCAGGGAGAACGCTCTCACCTCTTCCAGAAGGCTGGGGCATCTCGAATTCCTCCTGGTGCCTCCTTCATTCCAGCCTAGCCCGTGTTCCCATCATTTAGAAGTGGCAGTGGGTATCAACTATTCAATTATTTTCAAATAGTTGAGCCAGGATCTGGATTGAATAAATCACATTGATGCCAATTTCCAGGGAAGTCCTTTCATATTTTATGATTCACTCCCCACCTTTCCCCCTGCCTGCCTTGTGCTCCTGTTAATGAACCAGGAGACTGCGCAGGCTGCTCGGACGTCCCCACCGCTAAACCCCACGTGGAGATGCCGCTGCAGAAAGCACCGTAGTTCTGGGTTTTTTTCCTTTCCCTCCTCGCCATCCTGGGGAAATTGATATGCAGGCAGGAGTATGCTTTGTTTAAAGCTCAGGCCTGGCTTCTGAACGAATACATTATCCAAATCGGCGCACGCGGTTGAAATTCTGCAAAACTCAGTCCTGCCACTCGTGGCTTGCCAATGAGATGTCCAGCCAGGTCTCAGGCAGCGTGAATGTCCTGGAAGAGAGAGAGGAGCGGTGCAAACACCCAGGAGGCCCACTGCGGGAGTCAATCATTTATCCGGCTGAGGATGGAAGGTTGGCCCCGCCAGGTACCTCTACTAGTGCCTGACCACACTGATGGGCCGCCAGCGCCCAGTCGGGGGACAGTCTCTGCTTCTGTTCCTTTAAACTTAAGATTTGTTTGAAGAACAGATTGAACGGGAACGGGAAAACAGAGCCCCCAATGCCCTGCCCCGTTTTTTTCTTTTTGTGAACTGATTGTTCAAGAATTAGGTCTGTTTTTGAATGCGGGGCTGTGGAAGCTCAAGAGATCAAGCAAGGCTTAAAGGTTTGGCTTCCTACGCTTCAGGTACCTGGAATCTTGTCCGTCAGGAGGACATCCAGGGAACCACTCGTTGGTGACAATTTGGGAGTCACTGAGGTTTGTCCCACTTGCTCTTTAAATGTTAGAGTTTTAATGATTTAGGAACCAGAAGAATAACTAAGGAGCCCAGCAGTCATTATCTCAAATAATGAGACTTTTTAATGCAAAATCAATGTTTGTTATAATGAAAATAGATTCCTGGGCTCCTGCAGGGCCAAATGTACAAATCTTTTTCTGCTGTTAAATAAAATGTGACGGCTCATTTTCAGGACGGTGGCGAGCACTTTTATTCGAGAGTAAAAATAAAATGTCAGAACTTATTTACTTTTATTAAGTGCCTATTCTCAATCAGACGCTCTGATCAATATCTAATTGGAGGTGAAGAAACGGAAAATGATTTTCATGCCAACTTCAGAGAAAGGAAGGAAGGGAGGAAGGACGGGGGAAGGAAAAGAACGCAGAGGAAGCCACTTCGTGTATTTTAGTTACAATAATATAGCAAGTATCTATCAGGTGGGGGCTTCATGCCCAGGCAGAGTGCTGGATCCGAGTCATGTCTCAACACAGCAATTCAATGCTGGGTGACCCTTGTGAGGTCAGCCCATCAGTGGACTCTTTATACTTGACAAGGCTGAGGCTTCTAGAAGGTAATTGTCAGAGTTCCTGGTGAGACAACACCCCGTCCCAGCTCTTAACCTACCTGTTCATTCCCATCCAATCTGACATTTTTATTTTATTTTTTAAAAATATTTACTTATTTATTTACACAACTACCGCGGAGTTCATATGGAAGTCACATGTCAACTGTGGCTGTCAGCTCTCTCTTTCCATCTTGGGGAATGACTTGGTGGCGGGTTCCTTCCTCCACCAGGTCATCTTACAGACTTTTTGTTCGTTTTGTTTTGTTTTATGTGTTTGGCCTCTTGAAGTAAGGTCTTGCCCTTATTCTAAGCTGACTTCAAACTTGGGGTCCTTCTGCCCCAGCACCTCAAATCCAGAGATTATGTGCCCAGACTTTATGCTTTCTTTGAATTAATTGTGTGACCTTGCACTTTGTTGAGCAGGGCATCTCTATCTGAGGCACGGTGCCCTCCAGGTTAGCTACCCTGAGGCTTTCTGGATGATTCTCTATATCTCCACCTCCCATCTTCTGTCTTCACTTCCTCCCCACAGGAGTGCTGGGATTGCAGCTCTTTGGCCTTTTACCTGTGTTCTGGGGATGTGACTCAGGTCACCAGGCTCCTTTATCTACTGAGCCATCTCCCTGGTCCTGTTTTATGTTTTAGTAAGTCATGAGGCAAGCTTTACCAATAGCAAACGTTTTACTCTTTTTTGTTTTTTTTTTTTTTTTTTTTTTGGTCTGTTTTACTGAGACAGGGCTTGGGCAGCCCAGGCTTGTCTCAAATGTGTTTGGGTCCAGGATGACCTTGAGCTCCTGACCCTCTGGTCTCTAACTCCCAAGTGCTGACATTACAGCTGTGTGCAACCGCGCCTGGCTTAAGTGTTTTACTCTTATTATTAGCTCAAAACCATAAACTTTAACTAGTTTTAGAGGGTAAAGACCTTCTTCAAATACTTTATGTACTTCTTGGTCATGGCAAACAATGCTCATACAAACACACCCAACTTGCAATGGCTTGACATTTTTTTAACTTCACAGTGCCACAAGATGTCAGGAGCCATTTCCCCCCAATCATTACAGGAACCATCACCCTGGGGAGTCTGCAGGGAACCTCACACCCATAGTTATGTTCTACTGACAAAACCTGCCCCTCACCCAATTAACTGCTAATCTTAGTGGAACCCGCCTCACATTCCAGCTATCCAGGGAATCAGGTGTGGCCACTTGTGACTTCTGGCCTGTCTGTCTGAATGTAACCGAGCTACGTGACCGGAACCACGCGGCCTGCGAGATCCCGTACCCTGCCCCTCATCCCTTACCATATATAAACTGTAACCCGTCCCTAATAAACGGAGGCCTTGACAAAGTTGCTTGGCCTCGTTCTTCTGTCTTAGCTCACTCCCTTCCAGGTAGCGCCCCTCCGAGACCCTGGAGTAACTGGATTGCGGGGTGGGTTACAACCCCTAGACTGAGTAGCCCACCCCAACGCAATCCACAACAAGAGTAGTGCCTGTTCCATGTAAACCATACTTTAGATTTTGCATCCATATCTTTTCCTGGGCTGATGGCACCTAGTTACTTATTCTGTCATGATGTGAGGTGCTTCAACTCCTGGTTGCCCCTGGGATGATGGGATAATGGCTCCCACTCTTTAGTGTGCGTATTCTATGCCGCTCAGTAGGTTCTGTTGACTGTGCGGATGATTTGTGTCCTAGTCTGCTTCCTGTTGCTGTGAAGAAACATCATGAGGAAAAACAACTTGGGGAGGAAAGGATTTATTTCGTTTTACAGGTTACAGTCTATCACGGAAGCCAAGGCAGGAGCCCAAGACAGGAGCTCATGCAGGAATCGCAATGGATTACTGCTTACTGGCTTGCTCACCTTAGTTGTTCAGCCTGCTTTCTTTCTTTTCTTTCTTTTTTTAATTTTAATTTTTATTCTATGTATTGGTGTTTTGCCTGCATGTAAGTCTGTGTGAGGGTGTTGGGTCCTGGAGTTATAGACAGTTGTGAGCTGCCATGTGGGTGCTGGGAATTGAACCCCGGTTCTCTGGAAGGTCAGTGCTCTTAATCGCTGAGTCATCTCTCCAGCCCTCAGCCTGCTTTCTTATACAGCTAGGACCACCTACCTAGGGATGGCACCACCTCCAATGGGCTAGACTCTCCTATGTCAACCATTAGTAAAGAAAATACCCCATAGAAATGCCCACAGGTCAACCTGACAGGGGCAATTCATCCAGGTTTCCTCTTCCGAGGAGACTCTAGTTTGTATCAAGTTGACAAAGTAACCCACACATTTTGCAACATCCTCAGTTTGTGGTGGACTTACTGGGGTATAAGCTCTCTCTGATGTAATGGATCTATAGTATAGTATTTCTAGTATTTCTAGAAAAGACCAAATGCTAGAAGTGAGTTGGAATTCTACCTAGTCTTTTGCTGGCTATTGAGGTCCTTGGGCAAGCCTGCTACACCCTCTGTGAGACACTGGATCTTCTAATGATTTTTGATTTTAAATGATATCACTTTAAGGAAGAGCCTTTGTGTGTGAACCATGTGTAAATACGGAGGCAAGAGTGCAGCTCTGGGTGCTGTTCCTCAGGTAATATCCACCTTATTTCTTAAGACAAGGTCTCTCACTGGCCTGCAGCAAATCCTGTCTCCACTACCCTGGTGCTGGGGTTACAAATGCATATCACCATGCTGCCTTTTTTTTTTTTTTTTTCTTCGAGACAGGGTTTCTCTGTGGCTTTGGAGCCTGTCCTGGAACTAGCTCTGTAGACCAGGCTGGTCTCGAACTCACAGAGATCCGCCTGCCTCTGCCTCCCGAGTGCTGGGATTAAAGGCGTGCGCCACCACCGCCCGGCACCATGCTGCCTTTTTATGTGGGGTCTGGGTCTTGAACTCTTGAACTCAAGTCTTCATGTTTCAAGACAAATAATTTCAGGTTTTTTTGTTTGTTTGTTTTGTTTTTTTTTTTTTGTTTTTTGAGACAGAGTTTCTCTGTGTAACAACTGCCCTGGCACTCACTTTGTAGATCAGGCTGGCCTTAGGCTCACAGACTTCCGCTGCCTCTGCCTCTCAAGTGCTGGGATTAAAGGTGTGGATCACCACTGTGAGGCTCTACAAATACTTTTCTGACTGAACTCTCTCCCTTGCCCTGGAAGAACCTCTGAAACAGAAGAGTTGTCTGCACTGCCTCAGGGAACCCAGGACACCCTCCCCGGAAGTGGTCAACCAGGACCAGAGAAGGAGGTAACAAAGATAACAAGGGTTTAGATCAGCTATCTTCCACAGAGGTCAGCGCTTGAACTCAGTATTTCTCACATATGACATCTGTACTGGCTAGTTTTATGTCAGTTTGACACAAGCTAAAGATCATCAGAGAAGAGGGAGCCTCAGCTGAGAAAATGTCTCCATAAGATTTGACTATAGGGCATTTTCTTAACTAGTGACTGACGGGGGAGGACCCAGCCCATGGTGGGAGCTGCCATCCCTGGGCTGGTGGACCTGGGTTCTGTACGAAAACAGACTGAGCGAGCAGTAAGCAGCATCCCTCTAAGGTCTCAGAATCAGCTCGTGCCTCCAAGTTCCTGCTCAGCGATGGACTGTCAACCTGACAGTGTAAGCTGAAACAGACTTGCCTCCTCAAGCTGCCTTGGGTCATGGTGCTCCATCACAGCTATAGAACCTTTGACTGAGACAACACCATCCCCCCTCCCAGTGCCCCGTGAGATCATTTCTGTTATTATTGGCATCTGCATTTAGCAGAGGCAGAAACTCAGGCTTTGATTTATGAAGCTGCTTACCTAAGACCCTGAGTAAGCAGTAGAGGATGATTTGACACCAGGAAGCCCAAATCTAAATCCCGGGCATTAGCCGTGTTTACTATGCCGGGATGTCAGCAAGCCTCATTCCCTTTCACCTGCAAACCCCACCTCAAACCCAACTCCTTGTCACCCCCATGATGACAAGTCTGGGTCCAGATTCTTCCAGGAATCTTTGAATTAGTTTCTCCAACATTGATTCTTGCTCCTCTACCCCTCTGTATCCCATATTTCTTCTAAAAATAGCAATCTCTGATTCTTTTTTTTAAAAAAAAAACATAAAACAAAACCATGAGCTCTGTTGAGATACAATTTACATACAATAAAAATTTCAGATTTTTAAATGTACAATTTTCAGTGAGTTTTGACAAATGCGAACAGTCAAGTTCACCGCCATAGTCAAGCTATAGAATCTCTCTGTGTGTGTATCTGTGTGTTTAATAAACTTTACATCAAATCATGACACTCTTCTGCCCACCTCATTCAAAGGGTCGCCATCTCTCTTGAGCGACAGTCAGCATTCTCACAGTGTTTCCCAGGGTCATGACAAAAGAAAGGCTGTTGTGGGTTTGCAAAATGGCTTCATTTTCTCCCCCAGGGCACGAAGGAAGACGCTAAATGTTATCCTTATGTATAGGTAAGAGCATGTGACTAGTTCTGGGCACTGGAAGTGGGTAGCAGTGGTGTCTACACCTTTCAGACCTGGGCCTACATGCCTAGAAAAATGCCTGGTGTTTCTCTCCTGCTTGCTTTAAAGTCCCCAGGGATCACTCTAAGCCTGAGGGATCTTAGAGCTACTTAGAAGCACTGGACTTCAACAGGACAAGAGGCAGACAGCCTTGAACCCTTGTGAATTCTGATATTTCAGAGGAATTGGTAATGCAGCAGCTAATGTTCAAACCTGTATTGAGTGCAAAGGAACAGCCTCAGCAGCTGTGACCGCCATCATTTCCGTCTGCTGGTTTACTCAAGCCCCAGTGAGGAGGGGCAGGCGCACTCCTCAGATGCATCGTTTGGTGAGCATGTCCTGTCGATACTGACAGAGAAACCCTGTGCAGTTCATACAGGTGTAGGTGGCATCCTTTTCCAGATTAGGCATTTAAAAAATAAATATTCAGGGGTTGGGATGATGGTGCTGAGGGTAAAATGCATTTGCTCTGCAAGCAAGAGGACCTGAGTTCAAATCTAACCTAAAATCGAGGCGTGGTTATGTATACTTCTAAAGCTAATTGTGGGAGGGGGGGTGCCATACAGATGGATCCTGAGAGTGTGTTGGCCTGCCAGGCTCGTCAAAATGGTAAGCTTCATGTTTAGTCAGACTGACACCTCTAGGCTGTCAGGTACAGAGCAATAGCGATTGGTCAATACTCAGCGGCTTCCTGTGCCTTCTGCATACGTGTGCACAGACACCAGCCCACGCTGTGACTTACTACCTCATACCCATGTTTTAAAAATAAATGAATAAATAAGCCACAAAATAAATGTTCAGAGTCCAGAGAACTCGTCCAGACGTTGTTGAAGAAACATGGGTCAGGAGAGGGCAGATCTTCTGAACTCTGCTGTCAGGGTTCTGGGTCAGATGGGGTGGGTGATGGTCTCAACAGTCTGAAATGAGGGATGCTTGCCCCGCGCCTCATGCCCCGCGCCTCATGCCCCGCGCCTCATGCCCCGCACCCTGAGGCTTTGCTACTCATCTCCCAGTAATTCCATGAAGGAAGATTAACTCTCCTTTCAAGATGAGCTTCGAGGGTCTGGGCTGCCCAGCTCACAGCCACCCAGCCAAGGCAGTCTTAGGATGTGGATTCAGGTCTGACCTCTGGGGTTGGCTACAGCTCATAACTACCAACAGTTCATCCGGGACCTGCTGCCTGTTCTCTCTGATCCTGGGAATTAGACCCCAGCCACCAAGTCTATGTGCACTTGGCAAGAGTAAAGAATGGAGCTTGGGTCCCATGTTCCCCAAGGCTCTTTCTCAGCACTCCCTCCCGGCTTCCCCCACCATCTGTCTGGGAGGTCTTCCAAACTAAACTCAGGATTCCTTCCTTCCTTCCTTCCTTCCTTCCTTCCTTCCTTCCTTCCTTCCTTCCTTCCTTCCTTCCTTCCTTCCTTCCTTCCTTCCTCCCTCCCTTCCAGGATATTCCTTCTCCTCTTTAGTCTTCATTTGGCCCTGGATGTTCACAGGAGGGTACCACCAGTACTCTCCTTTTCCTATTTCTGAGAACTTTCTACTGTTAATCAATAGCAAAATACTGAGCATCTTCATCCTAGATCCTCTGAGCCTGCTTGTTCTTCTGGAAACATAGCTCCCCCTCCCTCTGCCAGGATGTTGCCTACCTGTCCTTTTTCAAGTTGACTGTTCTTGTTTCTTTGACCTCTGAACCCCTAGGCCTGGGGGGTGGGCCTGGCGTCTTCCTCACTCCTCCTTGCTGCTCTCATGACATTGCATTTCCATGTGTCCTCCCAAGCTGCTGCCTTGAAGACATCAGACTCTCTGAGGCTTCCTCTCATACATCTACTGATCGCTAAAAGTGGCTCTCAGGTCT